TCAGAAAGGGCACTGTCCAATGATATTCATGAAGTCAAAAATTTATATCAATTCATTTTGATTAACATTGGGAACATTTATAACTTTGATGACACCTACAAAGTTACTGAACAAGTTAAAACTAGTAATACATGTAATCAAGGAAGGAAAGAGGAACAACACCAGCCACATCAAGTATTTTTGCTGACCACTTAAATGCCAACTTTAACTAGTGGTGCTTCAGAATGACACAGACTTTCTCATATAAGTTTTCTATTTCCCTTGGTCTGGGCTAGCTATTTGGACTTACCATAAACTTTTGCTGCCATCTAACGCCACTCAAACTACATTTTATTAAACATTTTCTTAATTATTCCATTTCCTAATAGTAGACCAAAACATTACATTAAGAATATTGAAGAAGAGTAAAACCATGTCCTAAATGGCAATTTTCATTGAAAAATTGGAACCATTTTTAAGGAAATGTTAAGAAACTTTATTTGATGTCCTTTGAAGCACTAAGCACTACCATTCATAACTGCAATAGTGCAACTTCAAATCACTGAAAACATGCTTATTAATGAGTGAGAGATATTTCCAAAAAATTAAATTGTTGACTTTTTGAGAAAACAAAATGAACATTATATCATATTAAACACTACAATTAACACTATCCATTGGAAAAGATTGCAAAAAAATTTGGAGCCATTTTTGAGATAATAGTGTTTGAGCATTTCTGAAAAGTGGAATTTTGAGCTTATTTTCACAGAAGTGCTGAGATTTTGAGGAACTTTATAGGACATTATTTAAAGCATGTGTACTCATTAAAACATTAATGTGAGCAAATCACTGCTAATGTAAATATTAACAATGTAAGAGACAATTCAAAAAATTATATTTTTATTTTTTTTGAAAAAACAAACAATAGAGCAAAACAACATTTATGTCATCTCATAGTACATTTAGCACTATCCCTACCAAAAGTTTAAAGAAAAATTTGAAGCTGTTTTAGAGAAAATCTTGTTTTTTAAAGCGAGATAACAGTGAAAATCTGACCTACGCCATCTTTATAAACGTATTCACTCTATTATTACAAGAATTAAAAAATAGAATAATAAAAAAACAAAAAAAATTTCTGGTAAAATTTTGAAAATGTCTGGGGATGGGGGAGTTCATGTAAAGTACCCCCAAATTTCGAAGAAAGGTTTTTCAAAATTGCAGTGCCTCAAGTCAAGCCAGATTGACTGGGTAATATCAATTTTGGAAAAAATTCTACTAATAGTTAACGTGCTTGTGGTGTTCACAGATGGTCAGACAGACAGACTTTTTCAAAAGGAAACACTTTTTCAGTATCAGGGGACCCCAAAATATGTATTTCTGTAGACATCTCAAAATTGATTTTCCACAGCATTACATAACATTCTCTACACTATGTATACACTCTGTATATACGTACGTACACGATAAAGTAATATATTTAAAAACAATGCAATACATATTAAAAACATCATATCATTTAAATAAAATTATATTGCAACAAAAGCGCAATCTGTACAAATATATTTACAACACTACAGCTGCTTTACCATTTAATATTCAATGCTGTATTCATTTTCTCAACTGCATGATAATCTGTGTGAAGCATGGCAGTCTTTTTGTCACTGGTCGAACCACCCAGCCAATGGTTATACAACTCCTTTACCATGGTGTTTTCTGCAGGACTGAGGGCTGGAAGATCTGCATACATGGTTTCTAACTTAGCTATAAGCTCCTTTGGTGCACTTGCATTTTCTGGTCGCAACTGTGCTCCACCATTAATACACCCTATAATCAAAAGGGACAAATTCTAGTTAAGATTTGTTTCTCTACATACAGCTTATAAAGAAGATAATGCAATATAGTGCACGATATAAAATACTTAAATAAGAATTATGTAAAGTTCCATAAAACCAGTCTACATCATGTGATTTTCAAAGTACAAACCAATGTAATTAACTCTATGAAATGCTTTTACCACAAAACACGCAAGGCACTTCTAAATTTCTTTAAAATAACTTAGTTTATGTATCACTATTTGAAAGTATTAAATCTTGAAATGATATTTTCATGTTAATACAACAAAAATAATTTAGATTCAGAATTTCAAAACTAATAGTTGTAAAACTAAAACTGATATGTTAAACAAAATGAATTACTTCTCAGTGATTTAAGTTTTGTATGAAAATCAACATGTATGAGAATACAAATCAAAACTTAACAAGAGAATCCTCATCATTAAATAATCTTTCAGCAAAATAAAATTTCGATATGCATTCACTTGAAAATTAACTCTGAGATTTCACATTAACATAAAGTAATAATTCCAACAATTTTGTAAATGATTAAATAATTAAAAATACTCTCATATACTAATTTCATTTGTGTTAATTCTATTTTCTTCACGAATTGTCATGTCTTACATAACATGAAAAATGAAATTTAAAATTTGTAAAAACCTTAACCATCAAGGGATACAGGGAAAAATTACTATCTGTATTCTAACTGGATGAAACATACAATATTCTAAAACATTAACCAACTGAAAGTAATTTTTTAGTAACTCAACAAATGCTTATCTTTTAAGCATCTTCAAATGATAACACTTATTTGTTTACTAAGATATTTGATTTCTTTGTTACAAAAACCATCTCCAAACAAACACAACAACAAACTCTAATAATAAAAAGTAAATTATATGAGCAGATACAAAAAGTAAATAACCTCAAGAATTCATTGATAAAAAGTGCAATATTTTCATTATAAATGAATACCTGAAGGACATGCCATAACTTCAACAAAGTGATAATCACACTTTTTCCGTTTTATTTTCTGAACCAAATTCTGGATATTGCGAAAACCATTGGCAATGGCAAATCTAAGAACAACATTCCCATCTTTCTCAAGTATCACTTCCTTAAAATCTGGATTTCTGCAAATGTACAAAAACAGATTTTTAAAAATAGGAAAAAGAAGGCAATTACAGGCCATTAAGAGGTGTACATATCATTTACCTCAGTGTTCGGTAATGCACATCAGATAAGTCTTGTCCTATTAATTCCTTAGCAGCATGCAAGAAAACGTGATCTGCATATCCTCCAGAAGGTGAACCTCGGTGGCCCCAAATTTCTTTCTCCAAAGGTTTTTTTTCAGACCAGGGCCAATCAACTGATGCTGGGTCTACTTCAGATAGTTTGAGCCCACTGGATTCAAGCATACTCTGTAATTCAACTGAAATTTCACAAAAACAAATAATATTGTAAACAAAATTCAACACATTCTTCAAATTTAATGCGCTAAATGTTGCATCAATAAATCACATTAACGAAAATGATATTTAAATATAAAATAAATTATACAAAATTCTATAAAATAAATCTTCGTACTTCCTGTGATGACACAATCCACATCATGCGATTGTAATTTTTCATTGAAAAAGTCTTGTCTGGAAGCTTCTAATTTTTTATCATAACAAGGCATTACTGTCACATGGTAAATATCATTAGGTGATCTTTTCAATTGAGAGGACAGATATGTTTTTATTAGAGATCCCATAATTTGCTGAGGAGATTTTGTTTTTGCAATGTATGGTAAAATGAACTGACCATGTGTCTTTTCAGCATAGCAAACCCATCCTATTGAAAAGAAGAATTTTTATTTTTTAAGTATTTATCACAATTCAATTTTAGTAATCAATCATAACTTTTGTGAAGGTCAAAAGGATACTTGGCAACTCAACCTGGGCAAGATGATGTCAGCATAGGTAATTTTCCATTTTCTTTATTTTCAGCAGCCCGAAAACGTTCAATAAATTCAACCTGATTTTCCAGGAGAGCAAAATCATCTGCTATGTTCATGTTTACAACCATATTAGCTCCAAGCTGTTTAAAATATCCTGGAATTTTAACCAACCACTTTGTAAGCCGAAGTAAAAAACACACAGTAGTAACTGTTAACAATTGTATGATCCTGTACTACCTGTTAATCTTTGTGCTGCTTCGTCAACAGGTAGTTGATAATATGAAGCAAGAGACAAAATAGGTTGGACTGATAAAGACACTATAATTAATTTTGCCTGGTCTCCTTGGCCTGCCTTCAGTAAGAGAAAACAATGAAACAACAATAACAAGATGTGCATATCTAACTAAATAAATATAGAAAATATAATTATATTCATATAATTATATTCATAAATTTACCTCATGCAAAGATTTTGTTTCTTGAAATATTCGAGTAAGTTCAGTTTGACTTTGTTGAGAAATAAGAACAGATTCAGCTGATGTAATGCAACCACTGCACGCTAGACAGTCTGCCAGAGAAATTTCTACCTTTTTTAGCTGTCTTTCCCTACCTCCCTAGAAACACAAATAGTAAAAATTACTCCGGAATTTATTTTCACACCTCTGTTCATTTCTAAAATGTACTTAACTTTGTTAAGTGAATATGAATACTCGAGAAAACTACATCTGGATTATTTTCAAATTTTTTCTGAGATATTTCCATCAAAGACAAGAACAAATATTTTCTGTGAAATGGCAATAGTAAGGATCTCTGTTTACAAAGCACAAAAAATATGTGAACCCATTATAATGTAGATGAATCATTAAAATGCCAAAGAATCAACTTCAACATTTTCTTAGTAATCATTAGGGAGCAGATTTTGCATAGAATGGTCCGTTGCTTCAGGGTATATCTAAGTGAAATTTCTTGACATTTGGGTAGAATTGAATGCTATGTAAATTAATATGTTAGTGGATATTTGACTGATTTTTCCTTTTCATGTATATTTGGGTAAATATAGGCACATATTTTGCATATTTCGTTGAAGTAGAGACTTATCTCTTAAAAGATATAAACTTTTCATACAATCTATTTAATTGTGAGCATTCATTGATTAGAGCTTGTCACAGTTTGTTTTTTTTCTTCTTTTCTGTAGATCACAAAATACTTCCGCAAATATAGAAAATTTCTAAATATTTTTTTTTCCCCTTTGAAATGCAACAAGATATACAATGAACTTCACTGAGGTGAATATTTACTTTAATTATTTCTCTTGCAAAATAAGGTAAATTATATGTTTGAAAAAATTATAACTTTTCACTCCAAGCACACTTCTGAATTTTATCAACAAAGGTTAAGGGCTGAAAATGAAATTTTGTTAATTTTAATTGCATATTAAAGTGCATATTTCAGAATTTTTAGCTCATAAACGCAATTTTTAAAAGAGTTTTCAAGATTTTTTTGACCATAAAAATCCTCTTCCTAGAAATTATTCATTTAAAAATTAGACCATGTCACTTGAATGTCATTATCAGCAGATATATAAAATGAAACAAGATGCAAAATCAAATATTAGTTCTTACCTCTTCAACTTGGACATATCCACCGTCTTCTTGAATTTTTATCTTTGCGCCAGTTCCAACTTGGGTTTTTTCTATTTTCACGGGTTTAATGCACTCCTACCAGCACAAAATAAAATTTACGATTGCTGATATAATTTGATACTTTATGATAATACATAATCAACTCATGAGAGAATAATACCTGTGAAGGCGTAATAAAATCATCCAAATCTGTTAGCTGCAAGACACTACTAAAATGCGAAGACATCTCGAAAACTGCTTGTTACTCAACAATACTTTTATATAAAATTGAAAAAATGCAGTAAGTAGGATCTCACGAATTAGAAGTAAAACCAAATTCGCATCTGCGTACAGCACGTTACGTGACATGCACAATGCCAGATGCGAGCATATCCAAGATTCCATTAATTCCTATCACATTCCATTCAACAGGGCCACGCGTTTTGGGCAGAGCAAAGCGAAGAGTAGTTTTTAGTGAGTTTGATCTGAATATGTTGTCAACACTGAAATTGGTGAATAAACAACTCCTTGGAGTGTTGAAAGCAGGAAGTTCTAAGCATATATAATTATTCTGTGATCCAGTTGATAGCTTGTTCATGGAACAGAAGAGTATGAAATTGCAATTCATTCGTGAGTGTAGCTAGTGAATTGTGCATTTGAACTGTTAACTGTTCGAAAAATAATTTGGTGAAAGATCCGTTGCGTTACTGGAAAGGAAAAGTACCAGAATTCTCACAATGTCGTCTGTTGTGGATCCTTTTAACAAGTTTTCTTACATGGAATCGGGCAGTCAGAGGCAGCATTTCTCGCCTTATGCAGACAACGGAGGTAGTGTTGTGGCTATAGCAGGAGAAGATTACGCTATTATAGCTGCAGATACCCGTTTGAGTTCAGGATTTTCTATTTATACCCGAGAGCAGTCGAAATTATTTCAACTTTCAGAAAAAACAATTCTTGGTTGTTCTGGCTGCTGGTGTGACACACTGACACTGACACGAGTATTGGATGCCAGAATGCAAATGTATTACCATGAACATCAGAAGCTTATGGAAACACCTGCAGTTGCACAAATGTTGTCCACTATGTTATATTATAAGCGATTTTTCCCTTATTATGTTTCCAATATTTTGGCTGGCTTGGATGGTGAAGGAAAGGGCTGTGTATACAGTTATGATCCAATTGGACATTGTGAGAAGTCTTACTTCAGAGCTGGAGGAAGTGCAGGAGCTTTGCTGCAGCCTTTACTTGATAACCAGATTGGATTCCACAACATGGAGAAGGTGACTGTTTCTCCTGTCCCAGTGGAGAAAGCATTAGCAATTTTGAAGGATGGGTTTATTTCTGCAGCTGAACGAGATATCTACACTGGTGATAGTATTTTGATTAAGATCATTACAAAAGATGGTATTAAAGATGAATCATTCCAGTTGAGGAAAGATTAATTGGTCAGAAATTAAATTATTTCTTGTACCATTTTAATTACTGTATTTGCTTTTTAAAACAAAAAATGCTCTTGGTACATGTCATGTCAGTGTGTTATTAATAAAACATTTAAGTATGAAATTCTCAAATATTTATTTCAATATCTACATGAAAATTATTTCTAGTTCTGCGAAAACTCAGTTGTTGCTACTGCATCTTCAATGGAATGTCAAATATGGGCAAATGCAAATAGGTGGGTTCAAAACAGAGACAAAAAATTAAAGATTGCAACTCTTGGGCAACTGAGTTCTCGCTGACTAGTCACAATCTACCCCAAGATTTTTCCTTCATCTCATGACCAGTGATATTTAAGTAACAGCTTAATAATATATAGAGATCCTGCTGTAGTAGTGATCATTGTGCACACCAGAACGGTTGAGTATTGATGCAAGCTTCCTACAGGTACTTTAAGAATGATTGATGTTATTTCCTGGAACACATCAATGTCAAAGCAGTTATGAGTTGTATATTAATTCACGCACTATCCCAATTCCTATTTAATAGAAAAGATATTAATGCAGAAAATTCTAAATTTTGCTTTACTGTTAAAAAATGTTTCATCCATACTCTTGTTTTTAATGGGATTTTAATTAATCACAACAATGCAAATATCTCTTTGAGTCTAATATTATTACTGCCAAAGTTTGGCAATACGATGAAACAGTCTAATTGAATATAGCTGCATTTTTTGGGGGGGGTTGATTCTTAATAATTTTAATGAAACTGAAAAAAATGCTCACAGTGTTGTATGAAATGTTTGTCCACTTGCACTTTTCTGGGCTGCATGGAATGCACGGAGCTAGCATGTTCTGCTTACTCTTCAAGCAACTAGGTATTGGGTTGCATTTCAAGAGAATGGCTGGTGCTTCTAAAACAACTTCCTCTTCACCCCCCATGGGCAGAGGCTTATGATACCTTAGGTGAAATGGCAATACAAAGTTGCCTGTGAGTTTGCTACCTAACTGCTTTAAGGTGTAGTAGATAAACACTTCATGAGACTGGGCTGTTTCCTTGGCAGCTTCTGTGTCTACTTCTGAACTCACACATCCTGAAACCTACAGAATATCACAAATGATATTAGTAAAAATCAATAAATCACTGATCAATAACTCAGTTAAGTTATGCACAAAATAATCATTTGCTATGAGGAAAAGTATACCTATTCCCTCATTATTCAAATAAACTTGTATAAAAAAAATTGTATCATCAATTTTTAAAAACCATCATGCAAACTGGATTTCATGACTAATCAAGTTTTTTATGCAATTCCAGGGCATTTGGGGAGGATTTTGTGGGTTGTACACTTTTAAAAAGGCATTATAGATATTCATAAAACCTCATGAAAATAATCTTAAAGAGTAACTATAGTTTGTCAACAAATAGTAACTGATAAAACTTCATCTGTCTATTTGTTGTTTCAATATGTTGAAATATGTTATGTCATTACAAGAAGTCACGGGATAAGAGAATACACACTGCACATATCAACAAGATGATTATTTTGCAAGTGAGATTAGGGGAAGCACAGGTAATGGGATTGAATGGTAAATTAAAGATAAATATTGTAAACAGACCACATTGAAAGGCAGAAACATATGCCTACCATTAGTCACGATAACTATAGCCAGTTGATCACTGTAGCCCAAGAGAGCTTACATCGACCATTATCGTGATCGTACCAGGAAAGTGAGTGGCTGAAGTTAGAAAGTGCTCTCAGAAAATAAGGACTTACTCACGTGAACTTAGAGATTTCTGGAAGAATTAAAATTTGTTGGAAGGGAAGTACTTCAGCAAATCATTTGATACCAATTGCGAGTAATTTTAAACATTCTGTAAAAGTTCATGAGTAGTTATGATAAAAATGTGCTTTTGGGGGTAATGGTGGTAAGTGATTCTCATTATTGTAGAATGACTGCCATTGCCCCAAACAAAATAATTTATTGATCTGAATGAATTTAAATGCCTCCCTGGGGCTATTTAAAAAAAAAAGTGTTCATTTTGCTTTGTATTTTTTTAGTAGCCCACATGTGAGGGTAATGCGGGTTAAACGCAAATTTTTGGAAATTTGATATTTGAAAGTAATTTAGTGAATTTTTTATTATTTTTTGTGGTGAAAACTCAAGCTTAAAAACTAATGTCTGATATGAAAACACATACTTGTTCATAGGAATGATTTGTACCGATTTATATTGAAGAAATAAAAAGTTACCATTACTCCCGCTGCCCCTATATCTTTATAGTGATGTGTTCTGCCCTAGTAATATTTTTAGACTGTACATAAATAAATAAAATAGCTTAAGAAATGTCTTGTAGCTGTAGCACGTGATGGCAAACAAATCCCCAAAACCCTTTTGAAAAATATTTTGACACACTCTGGAAAGCTTCCTATTGCGACATTCTTGTTTTGAATATTCTTATTAAACAATGCCACATGAAATTCTATGTTAACTGGCTTTAGTTTGTTTGGAGTCAATACATAGCAGCACATCTTTTAGAAGCAAATGGTAGCTACCAACAACACTTAAGAAGTGAAAATGTTGAAAGTGCTACATCATTGTATCATCAAGATAACAGAGCACTTTTAAACATTTAGTTTTTTACAAAGACAAGCATTGAGTTGCAGAAACATAATCCACTAACAAAATTTTAAACCCAGCTATTAATGTTTACAAGGTAATCATTTATTACAGTCAGAATAACAACAACAAAAAATTCATTGGTTTCCATTTGGAGAGAGCCATGAATATTTAAAATAGTTTCCAAGTCAAAACAAAAATATTCATGTTTCTAAAACATGTTTTTATTGATATTTCCTTACAGAATGTAGTGCCTTTGTATATATGCACTTAGTTTGGCCCACAAGTCATCCATTCAGTGAACAAACTGATGCTCTTAGTTAGTATTAAGATAAAATTACTTTAATAAACACTTAATGCTATTTTGCCATAAGAAAATACGGATTGTAAGTTGCTACAAATGATCCAACACCCATATAGTTAAGATTGAAATATACAACTATCTAGATAATTGTGAACACTATCCAAGTATTGGCAGTTTATAATTTATAATCTATTTAAAATAATTAGAGGTCAGGAACAGGACATAAAGGAAACATAATCCAAAAATAATGACAATTATTACATACATTCAGAAGTGTGTACCTACAGTCCATCATGAACACTTTGAACATTATCACCTGTTAATAACAGGGTGGTTCTGTGTAAAGATAAGCAATTATGTCATTGGATTCTAACCTGGCCAGTACGTTGCAAATCAGCAAGTTCATCAGGATTAACATATAATCCTGATGGCATTAATTCTCTTTGAATTATCACACAATCAGAAAAAAATGATTGATTGGTAGTTATCTCCACTGATGAGTGTAATTCCCTGTCAAGAAGAAAAAACACATCTGAGCAGATTACACATTTTTCATCTATTTAGAAAATGCATCACTTATGAATTTGGAAATATTTTACCTATGGAACCCTTCATTTCCTACATGGCGAGTTAATACTACACTAATTCCACACTCGTCACCTTTCACATTTAGTATATTAATATAAAAAATAAAAATTAATAATCCAAAGGTTTTCCACATTTTAAACTTGTTTTTCTCTAACACTCCTTTTAGGGGTTATTGTAATAAGATTTTAAAATCAATTTTCAAATACTGTTGTAAGTTATTGTCTTTAAAGTGTGTTTCTCTAGTATAAATAAATAACTCATTAGATTTTTATTCTTCAGTTTTATAAAGTTACTTGCAAACTTGCGCACCTGCTCAGGAACGTCAATCATTACTTAGTCAATATTCATCATTAATCGAAAATAAATTGAAATATTTAATATTGACAATTTATATGTATAATGTGACTGACATTTGATACATATAATGGTAGAATAGTGCATCAGTTACTGAGTATCGAACTGATATTTTATGATCATTAAAAAAACATTAAATTTCTCAAAATATTTATTATTCGTAGTTCAATCAATCGTAAACCGCGTATGTACATAACCTAAACTATGATCACATGACATTTTAAACAATTTCAAACAAAATGACAACATGAAAGAGTCCAGAGAGAGAACATAAAAAACAAAATCAAGACGCTCACTAGCGTTATCTAGTGGTTTTACTTGGAAATAGTTGGTCACACGTTATTCTCGGCGACCGACAGATGTCAGACTTTTGAGTTAGTACTTGTTCGAGCTCCCTGAACCAAGTCTATGTACACTGAAGAGCCAAAAAACTGGTACACCTGCCTAATATCGTTTAGGCCCCCACGAGCCCGCAGAAATGCCGCAACACGACGTGGCATGGACTCGACTAATGTCTGAAGTAGTGCTGGAGGTAATTGACACCATCAATCCTGCAGAGCTGTCCACAAACTCGTAAGAGTACGAAGGAGTGGAGATCTCTTCTGAAAAGAACGTTGCAAGGCATCCCAGATACGCTCAATAATGTTCATGTCTGGGGATTTTGGTTGCCAGAGGAAGTATTTAAATTCGTGTGGACTGGCGCATTGTCCTGCTGGAATTGGCCAAGTCCGTCAGGAGGCACAATGGACATAAATGATTGCAGTTGATCAGACAGGATGCTTACGTACGTGTCACCTGTCGGCGTCGTATCTAGACGTATGAGGGGTCCCCTCCAACTGCACACGCTCCATATCATCACAGAGGCTCCACCGGCTTCAACAGTCCCTTTTGACATGCAGGGTCCGTGGATTCATGAGGTTGTGGCCATACTCGTACAGATCCATCCACTCGAAGCAATGTGAAACTATAATTGTCAGACCAAGCAACGAGTATCCACGCATCAACAGTCCAATGTCGGTGTTGGCGAGCCCAGGCGAAGCGTAAAACTTCGTGACATGCAGTCATCAAGGGTACGAGTGTGACTCCAAAACCCCACATCGATTATGTCTCATTTAATGGTTCGCTCGCTGCTGTTGATGGCCGAGTATTGAAATCTGCAACAATCTGTAGAAAGGTCGCACTTTCATCAGGTGTAATGATTCCAATCAGTCGTCGTCGGTCCCGTTCTTGAACGATCTCTTTGCGGCCGCAGCGCTGCCGGAGGTTTGATGTTTTACTGCATTCCCGATATTCACAGTACACTCGTGGAATAGACGTACGGGAAAATCCAAATTTCATCGCGACCTCGGATATACAATACCCCATCTCTCTAGCGCCGACTATAACACCACGTTCAAACTCACTTAAATCGTGATAATCTGCCATTGTAGCAGCAGTAACGGATCTAACAACTGTGCCAGACTCTGGTTGTCTTATACAGTCGTAGCCGACCGGAGCGCCGTATTCTGATTGGTTCCAGATCTCTTTGTTTTAATACGACTGTCTGTACTCGTTTTTTGGCTCTTCAGCGTATAAAATGAGTGTATTAAAATTTCATACCATGCATTAAACCCATTTGTGCTAAATTAATCGCAGACAAACTCGAGTCAACAGCGAAAGGGTGAAGTTACAATATCAGATGATAATATAGTAACTAATTTGAAATGTTAAGGAAGATGAAATGAAATTATTTGGATTATTCATGAAGAGACAAAATGAATACACTATTTTTTTTTTTAAATCAATTAGGCGGTTCCTCCTCTTTATTTATTCAAAAATATTCTTTATAAATAAATGTTCTGTAATTTAAAATTTTCCTTCTCATTTATGACGAGATTTATGAGACGAGTTTCTTTTTTTTACTAGAAAAATTGCAACAAAGACATTATTTTTTGTCTTGGTAAAAACTCAATCGACGGTTCAGAACACAAAATTATACACATCATTTATGTAATAAAAATTAATATTTTAATGCAATTAATAAACAAAATAATTAAACTTTATTTATCCAAATATTCATTTAGATGGAGAATTATAAATATTCATTATTATTTAATTAATTGAACAATTTTTACTTTCTTGCACTTCGTAAGAGAAACGTATGTAATCGTGCGCCGGAAAACGGGGAAGTTTCGGAAATCTCGTAATGTCGGGGCATACTTACGAAAAAGTTGACATATGGGTTGATATGAGTTGACAGTTGGCATATGAAGTAAATTACTCCCTGTCACACGTGCAGCCAGAATCCGTTTCGTGAGTCCTTGATACCAAAAAATCGAATGACAGAAAAACGTCTATCTGATCCGTTTGACCAACTCTAGCGCCTAAACCGTTTACTCAATTTTCACCAAAATTGATACTCTCCCGTCCATCTGA